GTTGTTGGCTGCGTATCAAACCGGAGAATGGAGTGGAACGTTCTCTCGGCTTGATACTTTCCGCACTCCTCACTCCAAAACCCGCCAAAATCGACACAATCAAATTCAGGCAAAATTCCGCGTCGAAATTCAGAATCTGGAACAGAGCTGAACTCCGGTGGCTGAACTCGTGACACGAAATGGATCCAATTGTTGCAACGAAGGAGCTATCGTTTCGCGTCGGCTTTTCCGGCCACAGCGGCCATCTCAGAATCGAGCCTCTTGCAACTGTGGAGCGCCCCAGCCCTGTTAGATCGCTCCCGGATTTCATACTTGTAAGCAGTGCTTTGTTTTATAGTATAGCCCTCGCGGAAGCTTACGGTCAGTAGGTGTCTGCGTATAGTTTTTGAATATTTACGTGTAAAATTATTTCTAGGGTTTATCAGTATTATACAATTCTTCTTCATTTTTTAGTATGTGGGTTTTAGCTCAATGAGGAGAAATGCAGCCATAAAAGATAAATAAATGAATTCGAATACAATGAGCCGTCAAACTAAAAGAACCATGGACAACGGCACCAAGAAACCACAAGGCTCTACCGAAAAAACCCTAAAGCAACCGTAGCCACCTAAACAAAGGAGAAGAAGCAGTTAAAAAAAAACCACTTGGAACAGGCGACACCCAAAGAAAAAGACCATTAAACATCAAACAATTTCAAAAAGAAATTTTAAGGAATATACTGCCGTTTCCTGAGATAAAATCGAATGCATTAGCAAAATATCCTTGTTAATAGCCGATTTGACTCTTATTCTTCTATTGCCATAAACTGGAGAAAAATACTTTCCGATGCTTTCCTTTGGCGTAGAAAAGGTCTCATACTCTTCATTCCCTTTCGATAAAACAGGAGAGATTGAATAAACGCCTAAGTTTCCATCAATAATCAGATGAGGAGATTTCAAACTTGCAAAAGAGGAAGCCCCATTGGATTTCTTATTAGAAGTCGGAATAGAAAATTGAAACACTTCCTCCCCAAAATTAGAAATGAAGGGCCTGTTTGGTAACATGTCCATTTCTTGTTTATGTTTCCTTCTTTTTTTAATAAAGAAAAATTCCTTATGTTTCCTTCGGTGGAGTGCTTCAGCTTGGCTAAGTTTAAAGCGTCTCAATGGTGTGCTCTATCCAATCTTTTTGCTAATTATTCTCCAAACATGATATATGTTAATTGGGGGGCTTTCATTTTCCCTAGTTAGACATACATAGGATGATACTCTGTCTTTTTATTTTTACTATTCTGGATTGTATCTTTTTATTTTATGTTTTTTCACTCCCTTGGGAGTGTGTATCTTTGAACATTTTATGTTCCTTTTCATCTATCAATGAAAAGTTCGTTTCTTGTTAAAAAAAAAATTGCATACCATGACACCCATGGAAACAAGAACGATAAAACAATATTTTTATTTATGTTTTGAAATAAATTGGAAATGACAACAAGAAACAAGAAAATTCGGTTTCTCAAAGCCAGGAAATGATCACAATAAAAACATTTTTAATTTCCAAATCACTCCTCGTATTGGAGGATTAATCCAATCTCCAGCTGGATTCTTCATACAAGAGGAAACCGAAAAATCTTCATAAGCTTCTACTTCCAAAAGTTTAGCGAGCAGACCCACCTCATTGAAGTTTGCTTCAGGAAACTCAACATCAGAATGAAATACTTTTTCGGGCACCACAAAATTGACTCCATCACACACATCAATCTCCTTTGTGTCTTTGACAACTTTGAACCAAGGGCAATGGCAAGCCAACAATTCCTTCATCCCCAGCTGCTTTTCACATGGGAATTAACCATAAAAGGAGGATCAGCCTCCAAAAAAGACCCTTCATCTCCTTTACTGATATAGTTCAATTCAAAGGACTATTAAACCAATATGAATCCATTATATTCAAAATTTCTGCTCGAATTGAAGAGCCACAAACAATAGAAGGGGAAGTTTGAAAGGTCACATCGTCGAGAAAAGAATCGTGAACAAAAGAATCATTGAAGCAGGGATGAATCCACATTGATTCCTCTTAACCTCAATTGATGCTTCAAAACAATTCAACAAATTAATGGTTTCCAACAAAATGCTAATGAACTCTCCACATTTCTCACCAATGGCTACAAAATTTTCCTTATTCCATAAAGAGAGAGGTAAATTCTTAATTTTGATCCAACCACCATTGCACTTCATCCACTCCATCCTATTGTGTTTTCCGCATTCCATTTTTCGATCTTGATATGCATCCCTCCAAAGTTATGCCAATGCCAAAGAAAAACCTCCAACTTTAAAACCAATGCTATCATCAATTTTAAGCAATGTTTTATCTACTGAAAATGAATTGATCGAACAACTCCTTGAAACTTCATTTTTCAAAATCTCTGAAATAGATTTCCAATCATCAAAAGAGCAAAGCCTCGAGACTACAAAGATCAACTGAAAATCCATAGCCACCCCATTGTCATCCTTTTTAAGCCAATCTCCATGTAAGAAAGTGACATCTTCTTTCACGGAAAAACTTGTCCCACAAGCCACAATCTGAAAGATTGGGATCTCGTTGAACAGATGAATAAAAGCAAAAGGAATCAAACATGCCTTTAGAGAGATATTGGAACTCGAGTAACATGTCCCAAAAAAGTAACCTAGCCTGTTCCTTGCACCTCAACCGGAACCAAGATTTGACTCTTAGTACCTTCTATTGACCGAAAAGCAATTTCAGGAAATCTTCCAAATACTTACACACTAGTTCAAATGACTAAACAACAATTTATAAATAGTATGCCACATATAAAGTCGGTGAAAACAGTATGCCCCCTTTCTCCTTTTCGTATTATCTATTTCTCAATTTTTCTCTGCAGTGGAATTTCTTCATGTTTGATCAGTCAATTTTTTTTCTTCAGAAGATGGTAAAGGTAGCTTGCTTCCAAGCCACTGTAGGCTTTGTGGCCAAAGTTGTGATGATTTGGCAAGCAGTGCATCTTAATAATGTTCCCTGTCCTATATCTTTGTTTTTTTTCTCCATTTCTTAAGAAGGAGACTCTTCTTGCTCAACTTGAGTATTATTCAATTGATTACGACAATAGTAATCTTCTTTATAGGTCGAAGCTTTGAATCCCCATCCCTATGTTATAATATTATTTTCTAGAAAAAAGGATGTTTTTTAATTGCCATCAACGCGTCAATTATGCATCATATTTATTTTTAAATTTTTGGTTCAAATTCAGCCACCTGCATTTCCTAAGGAAACTCCTGAAACGATAAAAGGCTACATTGAAGAGACTTTTCTCCGGCCGGAGTTAGACCCTGATGAATTTTCCCCACAAAAGGCAGGAAGACAGTGGGATTTTGATTGGTTTGAAATGGCAAAAGTATCTTTGGATCCATCTCAGCCAAGATCAGTCATGGTCCCTACATGGGTGTTGCCATTTGAACGCCCAAAGAAGGATGGAACTTCTGGAGGGACATGGGAACCTGGTTCTGTGCAGGTACTGCTTGATTGTTCAGTCTATTTGCCATGACATGAAAAATGTTGGTTAGGTTTACTGAATTAAGATTTCTGTTACGATAAATTTCACATATTTATGTTTCTAGGGTTTGGGTCATCAAGTCAATGATCTTGGCTATATTTATTCATTTTGAATGCTAATCATGCTATGGAATGGCTTTCCAATCTGACTAATGTCGCTTTTCAGGTGGATGTTTCAGAATTAAATGTGGAAACTCAAGAATCTGGTTCACAGCCACGAGTGCCAGGACCAGCAAAAGATTTTGTAAGGGGAAGCATAAATAATCGCCCTTTTCGACCTGGTGGTTTGGATGATTCTCAATCTATTGAAAGAATTCTTCCTGATGCAGCTTCTAATGGCGAGTGGGTGCATGAAGTTCTAAATGGTGGTCCTGCTCAATCTGTTCCACCTATTTTAAAGCAAGGATTGGACCTCGGTGATCTAAAGGTAAATTCTATTATCATTGAGAAATGGCCAACCAAATTATATTACTGCAGAATGTGTTGACTTCATTTATATTTTTTTGCTGTTTTTTTTAACTTTCTTTTGTCTGGGTAATAAGGTGTATCCAAACTCTTGGAATGTTTATGAGGACCAAAGTTCATTCAAGAGCTCATCAGTTGGAAACCTGGTTTGTTTTAATGCCTTAGTTTCATTATTAATTGTTGAAAAGTGTTTTCGTTTATGGAGACTATATCTTGAAAACCTTCCTTAATAGGTGTGGATAATAAGGTTTTCCTTTTCTGACTGAACTATCTACCAATGACACAGCAGAGTGAGTTGTCTGTACAATTTGATGATTTGTTCAAGAAGGCTTGGGAAGAGGATGCCATAGTATCCGTGGAAGATGGTATGTATTCTGGTATTTTTAAGCTGACACTTTACTCTATAAATTTAAATTGATGATATCATCTACATGAATGTCTTTTGAGACTAAAAATTAAATACTGAATTCTGCTATATTTGTAAGTCATGAATCCTTTTATTGAGTCTGGTTCAATGTTGTTGGCTCTGCTGGTTTTCCTTTGGGTTGCATCAATTCTTTATCAATAAATTTGGTTCTTTTCCCGTTCTTTTTGCCTCTAAACTTATTCCAAAAAGATTAGAATGATTAAAATCAATTTCATTTGATGACATTTGCAGCTATGCATTGAAAAGTAAACTTCATCTTTTTGGTTGGAAATGTTTGCCACATTGGGGGTAAATATGCTTAATCAATTGATAGGCACAAGATTAAGAATGTATATTTTAGAAAAAGGAGTCGTACTGGTAAGGCATAGAAGTGAGGCAGAAAATCGTTAGGAAGGGGGGCCACTGTACGAGTAGTAGAAAGGCTGTCTGGTATTTTGAAGTATGGGTATATACACTTAGGTAGTGAGATGGAGGGACACATTTTTGGCTATTTTGTCTAGGATTCTTCTATGGCTCTTTGTAATTAATTTTCTCTGATCATAAATGATAGACAGGGTGTTTTTATCATTTTGGTATTAGAGAAACTAGGATTGAGGCTATTGAACAGAAGTTTCAAGTGCGCTAAGTGTCGTGGGCATGCTTGTCCAGGGTGTGTTACCCATGGCCGCATGTCCAAACCATCCTCACCACTCGATTTTCTTTCATGTCTCTAAAGCTTTCTAGTGTAATTTTCTTGTATCGGGTTTTTGGGGTTGTAGGTGGAATTGGGCCGAGCGGCTTTGGAACTAGGTGTGTATTAGTAAGATATGTAAGCACGCCAAATTTCAAGCCAATCGGAGTTCACACGGGCCCTGTAGGCCACCGAGTGACTCCTCGCCACTTAGGACGTCTACACCTGCCACACCAAAAATGCCTTATAATGTACCTTAGGGGGAACCAAGTAGTCATCAAACCTCCCCCCGACCAAGTGTTGTATACTTTCTTGCAATCAAAGCTTTCTTGCCTCCATTGTCTACAATGCTTGTTTTAAAAATGTTTTCAACTGTTTTTCTATCTCACGTTTTCTAAAACCAATTTTCTCGTAAAACGTGAGCGGAGGCTAGACCCACGACCGAGATTGCCCGCAACTCACAGTTTTTCTCGGCTGACTTGCTCGTTTGAGTTAGAGCAAGTGCCGCACAATCGCTCGAGCTACTTTGAAAAGGTGCGATTGTGACACTAAGCATCATCGAAAAAAATCAGAATGAGATGAAGAAAGAGATAGCAGTATTCAAAGAGGATATATGGATGTCGATGGCCACGTTAACACAATTTGGAAGAGCAAGAGATAACAAAAGAAGATAGAGGAAAAGCACTTGCAGTTGAAAAGGCATCCGAAGTCATCAGAGAGGCTAGCAACGCCAGATCCAACGACAATGCCAATCGCCTAACCAACACATTGGCCTCAATGTTCAATTTGCAGTTAAGGAAACTGGAGGTCTCCATCTTTGATGGCACAAACTCTGATGGCTGGATGGATGGTTACATTGGGTTGCTCGTTACTTCATGATAAACAGACTCTCAGATAAAGAGAAGTTAGAAGTGGCGATATCATGTTTGGTGGGAGAGACCCTAGTGTGGCACTAGTGGGAAGAGAAAGAACAACCCATTGAGGCTTGGGAGAAATTTCGTGTGTTACTGTAGCTTAGTTTTCGGCCTACCCAAGATGGATTGCTATGTGAAAGATCTGTCAGTTTGCGGCAAGAAACGGCTGTTTCGAAGAGACGGAGCTCCAGTGGATGGTGTTCTGCCACAAACTGACAAATTTTTCACATAGCGATCCATCTTGGGTAGGCCAATGTGGTTTTGGGAGTTCAATGACTATCCACCTAAGGTCTATTAACCACCGATTATAGTCATTGGCCTTGGGAGTTCAATGACTATCCACCTAAGGTCTAGTAACCACCGATTATAGCACGTTGTCGGTGCATTTCTGTTTGGACAATTGGAAAATCTCTAACAGGGTGACGTGTCACTAAAATTTACTCAGGTATCCATAATTTATAAAGACCCTTATGAATTATATCTTGCAGAAAAATAGGGGATTATAATTGAATTAAACGCCATAGAAGGGATACCCGCAACAATTGAATGTTAAATTGGGAAGAAATCTCCCCATAATTAATCCCCATCCTCTCTAAATTTGCTACTGTTTTTCGGGCCGCTCCAAAATCCTCTTCCCCACTACAGCATCATGCTATCGAACTACTACCTTTAGCTGGGCTGGTCTGGGTCAGGTCGTATAGATACCTCCAATTTCAAAGGACAAGATTGAGAATTTGGTTCGAGAGATGCTCCTTTCCAGTGTAATTCACCAAGTTTGTAGTTCTTATTCTAGCCTAGTCTTACTTATTAAGAAAAAAGATGGGAGTCGGCGCATTTGCACCGAACTTCAAAAAAGGTGACGTTGAGGAACTTTTGGATGAGTTACGTGGCACATCGATTTTTGTCTAAAATCGACCTTAAATATGGGTACCACCAAATTTGAGTGAAGGTCAAGCATAGTCATAAGACCGCTTTTCGAAAACATGAAGGGCATTATGAATTTTTGGTGATGCCGTTCAACTTTTCAGTCACTGATGAACAATGTTCTTACTTCTTCGGCCCTTTCTTTGTAAGTTCTTGTTGGGTATCCGAATACAAGAACCTAACAAGAACACTATATTGCAATACAAAAGAGTAATTACAATACCGATAGCCTTTCGAGAGGGCTATCTCTCTCCCAAGAACTCTCTCAAGTTCCTTACCAAAATACAATTCTTCAAGATATCTCCCTCCTCTCCCTACTACCCTTATTTATAACAACTCACCCTAACTAATTATCATTCTAATTACCATACTACCCCTTCATACTAACAAACTAATATTCTCTAATAGGACTCTCACAGTCGCCTTAGTTTTCTTCTATGATATTTTAATTTACAGTGCTCCTCTTCAAGAATATTTGGGCCATTTGCGTACGATATTACAAGTTTTGCAAGAACATAAATTAATAGCTACAGTGAAGAAATGTCAGTTTGGGCTTCCCCAAATTGAGTATTTGGGGCATATTGTCTCAGGCCAAAGGGTGGCGGTGGACCCACAGAAAATATTGGCGACTGTACATTGGCCAATCCCAACTAATTTGAAGGACTTAGAGAGGATTTTTAGTACTTAGTGGATATTATTGCAAGTTGGTTGCGAATTATGACTCCCTCGCTTTTTCGTTAACTCGACTACTTAAAGAAGGATGGGTTGGTATGGAGTGAGGTGGCTACATAAGCATTTGAAGATTTGAAAATTGCCATGACATCAGTCCTAGTTCTTCGATTACCAGATTTTTCTTGGCCTTCTATTATTCAATTTGATGCGTTGGGTGTGGGCCTTGGTGCAGTATTGATGTAGGATCATCACCCTATTGCTTTCTTTAGCCACGCCTTACCTCAATCACAATGACACAAGAGCTAATGGCTATTGTCATGGCGGTCCAAAAATGACGTCAATATTTATTGGGGCGTAAGTTCCTCGTGCGTGTAGATCAGAAAGCCCCAGAATTTTTACTTGACCAACAGGTGATTCTGGGGGATTATCAGAAATGGATCACCAAATGGATGGGGTACGATTTTGATATCGAGTATAAGCCTGGGTTGGAAAATACTGGTAGTTGATGCATTCTCTCGATGGCTGGAGACTATCGAATTCAAGTCATTCACAGTGGAAGGATGGGTTAATTTAGAGGTGATCGATGATTAGATTTTGAAAGACCCGAGATTATAAAAAATTGTCCTTGACTGAAAGGTAGGTCATGAGGTTCCATAAGGTTATTCTATAAAGGCTGGTATGCTATATTATAGAGGTAAAATTATCCTACCACACACCTCACCCTCTATTCCATTATTGTTACAAGAATTTCATTGCTCATCGATTGGGGCGATGGTGGTATATGAAGATCTTTCAACGTGTGAACCGGGAACTATATTGGAGTGGGATGTGAAATTAGATTCAAATTTTCGTTAGTGAATGATCCATTGCCAGCAAGCTAAGTATCTCCCTTGTCCCAAGGGCTTGTTACAACCTCTTACAATACCGGATCACATTTGGGAGGAGATATCCATGGATTTTGTTGAGGGGCTATGCAAATTCGAGGGATTTGACTCCATTCTTGTCGTGGTTGATCGGCTGTCTAAATATGCACATTCTCCTGAACACTCCTTTTATAGTAGTGTTAGTGGCTAATATATTTTTGGAAGAGATGGTAAGATTCCACTAATTTTTTTCCATGGCACTTACATTGGCCAGCTTTTATTGTCCGGGTCGCTTTGGAAGACGAAGGGTCTTAAGCTTCATCCTCGGAAGTTGAAAAGTCACTCAAGCAAAGTTGTTGTGATCCTCCCTCAAGGCAAGTTTCTATAAATACTCAAAACAAGATGACCTTTCAACTTCACAACTTAAAAACGAGGTAACATTAAACATAACAACTTTGCTCGAGTGACTTTTCAAATTCCGAGGATGAAGCTTAAGACCCCTCGTCTTCCAAAAGCGGTCAATAAATCGGACAATAAAAGCTGGCTAATGTAAATGCCATGGAACATGCACCATTAAAAACCTTGAAAACCAAAAGGTTGTCTTCTGAAGTAAACACCAATAAATACCTTGAAAGCCGAAAGGTTGCCTTGAGAAGAAAACACCATTAAATACCTTGAAAGTCTAAAGGTTGTCTTGATAAGAAAAAAGCAATTAAAGTGATCATCAAACAACATTTAAAGAGTCTACCATAATTCGCCAATACCAAAACCAGCCAATCAACTCGATATTTTAAATCATTAGGCGAATTGGAATTTAACCTCTCAGCTTTTGGAAGAGGGCGGTCTAGGAGTTGGTGGCCTTTCTAAGAAAAATCATGCTTTGTTGGCTAAATGGGGATGGCGGTTTGGTGAAGAGCCTAATGCATTATGGCGTAAAGTAATATCAAGTTTATATGGGGAGTCTGATTTGGGTTGGTCCCCGGCATTTTGTCAAATGGATGCCTTAGAAGACCTTGGATTAACATCTCTCGGCAATGGCAGCATTGGAACCAATTTTCATTCTTTAAACTTGGTTCAGGCACATCCATCCTGTTTTGGCAGCACAAATGGATTGGTGATCAGCTTCTTCGAGATGTTTTCCCAAAGATTTTCAGGCTTTCCATCCTACCTCAAGGTACTGTGGCAGATTTTTGGGATTCTCATACATTATCATGGAAAATTCTCACAAGAAGGTTACTAAAAGATGATGAAATGGAAGAATTTTCTTTGCTGCTGTCCTTGCTGCATCATCATTCTCCTTGCAATGATTCTGACAGAAGGCTTTGGTCTTTGGATAGTTCGGGTTCATTCACTGTAGAATCAATTTGTAAAAAACCCTCTGCTGCCTCTATGCCAAAAGTCTTATTCAAGGCTCTTTGGAAAACTAAATGCCCAAAGAAAGCAAGTTTTTTTTCTTGGATTCTTATTTATGGGAAGGTCAACACAGCTGAGGTTTTACAAAAGAAGCTCCCAGATTGCAGTCTGTCGCCTTCTGTTTGTGTTTGCTGTATGGCCAATGAAGAAATCATGGAACGTCTCTTTTTCTTATGCCTGTACGCAAGTCAGTGTTGGTATTTATTGCTAAAGGAATTCAATATGGATTGGGTTTTTGATCAAAAGGTGGCAGACAACATGATTCAGCTGCTATCAGGGTCTATTATGAATCCTAAAGCTTCTATTCTCTGGTTAAATGGAGTCAAGACTTTAGTATATGATCTGTGGTATGAAAGAAACCTAAGGATTTTTGAAGAAAAGAATAGTCTCCGTTGGAGTTCTTTATCTTCTTTATTTATTCCTTATTGTCCTAGTTTGATTAATTTAAATTGGGGTGCTTTTATTTCAAATTTATGTGTTAAGTTTTATGAGTTTTTAGTTTTTAGTTGTAATTTTATTTTATTTGCTTTTCACTCTCTCGAGAGTTTGTATCTTTGAACAATTTTGTTCCTTTTCATTATTTCAATGAGAAGTTCGTATCTTGTTCAAAAAAAAAAGATAAGATTTTTAAATGTACTTTTGGAAAACAACAATTCAGTCCAGTAGCCAGCATTAATGCGTCTAGAAATCTGGAATCATGGGAACAAAAAATCTGTGGGAAAATGAAAAGACACATCCCAACCAAACCTTCAATTATTTGTCTTGAAAAAATGGAAACACACCGAAAATACACCGATCAAAAACCAATTCTGAATAGTAAGGAAGAACATGAAAGGTTGCCCAGAATACTCATCAAACTGCCCACAATTTTTGAATAACTTGCAATAAATGACCCCAAAGATTTTCTGCCCAAGTAAACAGTAGCTATGCGAAGACAAAAACCAACCATCAAGTGCCCGAGAACCATATTAACCTTGCAACACTAATATGAACTTCAAAAATAAGGCATTCGAATTCTCCAAATACTTGAAAATCAATAGGCCTTATCAATCGGGAAAAGAGAAATTCCCAATTCTTCAAAAAACAAAGGAATGTTAGATTGTTCTAAATGTTCTGGATTTCCATCTTCAACTTGTTCTCTAAAGAGGAGCTGAAAGTCTTCCTTAGACGAATGTTTACTAAAGTCTTCAAGAGGAGTGACTGGTTTTGGGGAAGAATCCAAGCTACTTATGCTAACCACTTCCTCTTCTTCACTAACTTCAATATCCGAAATTTCACAAGAAGAAATCTGACGACCCATACTAACATTGGTGGAATTAATTGAGCCATAAGAAAGAGACTTGAACCCTTCTAAATTATCCTTCTTGTTGGAAGGATCACTTGAGAGATTAACAAAAGACCCCTCATCTTCTTTATTAAAAGCTGTATTCAAATCTATTTGAGGAATCTCAGATGATTCAACTTCTTAGCAACATTTATTCCTTTTAATTTTCGTCTGGTGTAGACTTGTAGTAGAATGGAAAGGGTGGAATATGACGCTTGGACTTCTTAGGGTCTAGGGAGAAAGAATGAACCTTTGGCTTTCCGGTATCCCATGCTCCCTCCTCCACTCTATCTTGGCATGCTGCAATACCTACCTCATTAAATGGAGGGGCAATTTGGTCGAACTCTTCCAAACAATTGGATGAGATTAATAATGTATATTCTAGAAAAGGGGTTTTATTGGTAAGGCGTAGAGTGAGGCAAAAAATTGTTAGGGAGGGGGGACCATTGTACGAGTAGTAGAAGGGTAGTGTGGTATTTTGTAGTAGGGATATAGACACCTGGGTAGTGAGCTAGAGGGACATCTTTTTGGCTATTTTGTCTAGGCTTGTTTGGGAGACATTCAGGAGCTCTCTAATTCTCCCTTGGCTCCTTGTAATTTCCTATTTATCATAAATAATAGAAAGAGTGTTCCTATCATCAATACTGAAAATGAACTAACCAATATATTCTTGCTAGTAGATGCTTCCCGTGAGGTTGGTATTGTGCCTTGATAGAATTGTCACAGAATATATAGTTGCTGGAAGCATGAATTAAGGAAAACTTTATTTTATGAGAGTATATGTTTTAAGTGATGGTATTGTTCTTGTTGTTTTATTCCCATCTTTCATTCTTTTGTTCTCTGTTATAATGGTCGAAAAGACCAATCATCAAAAGCAGAATCCATGAAGTTAGAATCCATGAAGTTTGAAGCTCAAGTTAACGAACCCGAAGCCGCTAGCATTGCACCTGCACCTGAAATATCTGTGTTGGATGAAATTTTGTCCCTTGAATCTGGAGGATTGCCATTGAGACCCGATCAAGCTACTGATGGTGGAGGACAAAAGAAGGAGGTAAGTAATTGTTTCAATCAACTTTAATTGTGCAGATATCATGTCCTTTCTTTGTCACTGTTTATTGTGGTGGTTGATAAGCAGGCTTGGGTCGTAACTGGTGGCCGTGATGAGATTTCTTTGCACTTTCATGAGCTCGTACCTGACATGGCACTTGATTTTCCTTTCGAATTGGACACTTTTCAGAAGGAGGTAATTATTAGTATTATATATATATCTATTTGATAAGAAATGGATTTTCTTGAGAATAAATTTCATTTCTATAAGCTCCCAAGGCCATCCTTACTGAAAAACGCATTAGGAAGCTTCTTTGGGAAGGTGCTAATTGTGAGGGAGGTTACATGATAAAGATGAATTATATTTCATTTCCATTGAGGCTTGGTGGTCTTGGTATAGGGTAAACCAAGGAAAGAAATAAGGCTCTTGTCATGAAACGACTATGATTCTTCCGAAATGGAATGGTTGGAATTTCTTATTCAGTGTATTCTCTATCCAGTGGGTACTGGGTCCAACTCTCAATCCGATTTAATTGAAATTTTAAGTGGTCCATCCATGTTTCAATTGCCCAAATCCTTTGGGTTAGACAAAATTAGAGGATTTTCAAAGACAAGTTTTTAGCTTGGAGAGAGTGGTTTGACTTAGCCAAGATCAAGTCTTCCACCATTATTCTATTTCTTGTAATGACATTTGTTTTAATTGGGATGTTTTATATCCCCTCGTTAGCTTTTGTTTTTACCTTTTTGCCAATGTTCTCTCCTTTTGAGAGATTGTATCCTTGATTTGTTTACATAATACATCAATTCAATAAAAAGTTCGTTTCTTGTTGAAAAAAGAATATTAATGAGGCGTCATTTGCATTCCTTTCCTTCTACCACCCAACAGAATTCCATATATATATATATATAGTGATAGACCCCGATTATAAATAGGTATGTTAGAAGGAAGGGTAATAGGGGAAGATGAAATACGGGTGTGGGCCCAAGTTAGTTAGGGGGTACTTTTGGGAGTAGAATGAGTGGTTATATGGTCTGCTGTGATGAGGGGTGGGGTATCTTTTTGGTAGGTTTTGCTTGAGGCATTGTAGGAGAGGCTAGGGAGCTCTCGAATTCTCCCTCTACCTGGGCTGTAATTTTTCCCTCTAGTACATAAATAATAGAAGCAGACTCTATCATATAGATATTTTATAGGAAACAAAGAATTTCATTATCAAAAAAGTGGTACAGAAGAGGGGGAAGAGAAATCCCCTAAACAGCCACTGGTTACAAAATTACATAATCCCCTGATCCTCTCCATATTTTAAGTACTTGATTACCTATTTTGTGGTGGTGGTGTTGATATTATTTACTTTATGTAGCTTTCACAGTGATTATGACCTAAAACTTTTATCTGAAAGAAAAGGTCAATCAAAAAGTTTGTTAGTTGTGGAATGAATAAGTTATTTCTATTATTGACTTGTGACCGATACAGGCTATATATCATCTTGAAAAGGGGGACTCTGTATTTGTTGCTGCACATACATCAGCTGGAAAGACCGTTGTTGCAGAGTATGCATTTGCTCTAACCACCAAAGTATGAACCAATACTTCTGAAGCCATGCATACATCTTTATGAACAACATCGTTGAACTAACAATTGGCCATGGATTCAAGAGTCTTTATTTTGTTTTCAAGTTTGATTATTCATTGATAGTGAAACTATTTATTCTTTATGAATGCTAAGGTTTTATTTCTGATCTTGATCCCATACAGCACTGTACTAGGGCTGTATATACAGCTCCCATCAAAACTATCAGTAATCAGAAGTATCGGGATTTTTGTGGGAAATTTGATGTTGGACTTCTGACTGGAGATGTTAGCTTGAGGCCAGAGGCTTCTTGTCTTATAATGACCACTGAAATATTAAGGTCAATGCTTTATCGAGGTGCTGATATTATCCGTGATATTGAATGGGTAAAGGAGCTTATTATGTGCTAATATTTTAAACTGTAATTTCCTCCCTCTTTTGAGTACCTTTTGTTTTAAATTTTTGGTGTAAATTTTAGTTTCATAATAATATACTAAATGACTGCAATTTTTTCCTGCTTGCATGTATGGGGAGATAGGTTATATTTGATGAGGTGCACTATGTCAATGATATTGAAAGAGGTGTTGTCTGGGAAGAAGTTATCATTATGCTTCCACGACATATCAATATTGTCCTTCTTTCAGCCACGGTATTGTTCTCGATTTAATTCTCTATGGATGTGTAGGTAACATTGGGTGTAAGTGGAGCTAAAATGATTCTTTTATAATCCTGTAGTTTCAAACTTTCTAACTTTGAGAGCCACGATATTATACCAATAAGATATCCTACAGTTTTTGAATGTATGGACTGTAGTGCTTGTTAACGTGGCAACACAAACTGCTAATTTATTTTCTATTTTAGGTTCCAAACACTATTGAATTTGCTGACTGGATTGGTCGGACGAAGCAAAAGAGAATTCATGTCACTGGGTAAGAAGTGATTTCCACTTCCAGCAGTCATATTTTCAGAGCTTCAGGAGTTGTTTGAGAGTCATGTTAAAAACTACTATTCTATTTTAAAGAAATAGTGTTTTGACCTAGAAATTTATTAAAGGAGTTTTGAGATCAACAAACAACAAGATGTTAAAAAATTTCATGTGATGCTAAATTAACTATTTGTATATAATCACAAATGATTTTTTTCAAGTATGACATGATTTATATATGTTTTTCAAGTAGGAATAGATGAAAACATTAGAACAAAAAAATATCTTTCCAGATACTTTTCAAGTTAAAAAATAATAGAAAGCAAATTTGAAAAGTTAGGTGCTCTTCAGGTGTATTTTTTAATAAAAAATTGTTTTAATTTTATTTATTTATTTATTTTGCAGGCTCTTTTAAAACTGTTTCCATTGTTTTTAACAGTTAGAAAGATTACTTTTGTTCTTCTGCCTTTATTTCAATCTTATCAATTTATTTGTTTAACACACTTGAATCATACTTTAAATTAATGATTATGTATGAAAAGTTATACTAGGAAACATAAAAAGACATTTGAAAAATACTGTTCCTCTTTTATGTTGTTTTACTTTTTTCTTCTGGTAACTGTTAAGTTATTCCACCAAATAGATTTTCTACATAAAAGAACTGTTTTTCTGTTTTAAACATGAATTTCAAGTAGGCTTTTATTGTGCAAAACAAGTTTTAAGAACGACATCTAGAATATACATACACCTAAAATTTTTATGATAGGATTTATTTTTCTTTGCCCTTTTCTTTTCCGTGCTTGCTTTATATTTTAGATGCTGTAAGATTTCTTTCTCTACTTTCTAGTTGTCTTGACATTATAAAATTTTATTCTTGAAATTTATGGAATTATTTTTATTATTTGTCGTTATCAGGACTACCAAAAGACCAGTACCTCTGGAGCACTGCGTTTTTTATTCTGGTGAATTATATAAAATATGTGAAAGTGAAATTTTTTTACCTCATGGTCTAAAAGCTGCCAAAGATGCGTCCAAGAAAAAGAGT